TTGGTAATCCAAATGAGATCACGACATGTGGCTTTCAAGTGACACATTGGCGCTGAGTAAGCTGATCACCTCGGTAGGACGGCTGGAAGCTCCTCGCAGGGCCGACCTAAAAGTACTTCAATCCAATTGACCTGAAGGACCTCCGACTAAGGAGCGACCTAACCTTAGGGATAGGCCAAGGTAAGAAAAGTACTTTTGGCAACCTACAAGGAATGCTTGTTGACTTGACACATAGTTCCGTTTCCAGACTGAGTTTTTTGGAATAGTAATGAGTCAACCGTTAGGTTGGCCTACTCGCATCACGCGCATCAGAGCCAATCAGACAAACCTTAGCTCCCCTGCACAGATTACGTAACCGACATCATTACTCTTCCAACTTAACGGAAATGATTTTGTGAGAACCTGAGATCCGTTACAAGGTCTATGAGTACTCACGTCTATATAAAGGTCTCATTTCCACCTGAAGAGGTACGCACGATTAAGCTCTAGCACTCTCTAATTTCTTAAAACATTCTAAGAAATATTTACTGACTTAACCATCAAAGTGCCCACCCCGGGTAAAAACAACCCAACACTCTAACTCTCCCCTTTTGTAGAATCATACAACTTGACCATCCTTAGCTTGGCCCATCTCAACTCGGCCACCAACTATGAACATCCAATTCAGTGTCCGAATCATCTGCCACGTAAGAACTGCTAGATTGCACACCATCAATAATCATATCTTTATTGAAGCACCAAGGGCCAACATCAAAAAGTATTGTCTTGATCAAACTTCTAAGTAGACTTGACCAATAATTTTTTTCTCCAAAATCTACTATATCAAAAGCACATTGTAAACCCCATGCCTTGCAGATGTAGTCTTTTATGTTGCTAGGCAATAGGATCTATTAGTATCTTAATCACCATACTAGTGGAGGGCCCATGCGTTGCAGAGGCTATGGGAAGATAAATAGTTTTATTCAAAGGTTGTAAGATTGAAAGTCATTACCAAAAAATAAATAAATAATTTGTCAAATAAAAATAAACTATTCTTTTAAATAAAAAAATAAAATAGTTTTCATTAAAATAAACTAATACCAGGCCTTATCGGGTCCCACATAACCCCTCTTTCAACACAAGGCCCTAAACAAACCCCTCTCTCTCATGGCCTCATTGGGCCCCAAACAACCCGTCTCTCTCTCTCTCTATTTTGATCCACGTCCAACCAAAACAAAGATAGTCTTAGTTGAACACAGTAGTTAGTTATTTAGTAGGCTATGTAACTAATAATAATGCTCCACTCTAGTCATAGGACCCACAACTTAAAATTAAATAAATAAAGTAATTAATTTTATGTGATTGAATTATGTTAAATTGATTTAGATAATTGAATTATGAGAAATAAATTAAATTCATTTAACATATTTTTAAATATTTTGTAAATTAATTTTAGATTTAATAATTATATTTTTAAAATATATATTTTTAAATCACTAAATAAATTAATTGAATATAAGTAATTAAATTAAATTAACTATATTGAAAACTTAATTATATCAAGTGGTTGTTAGAGACGGGGCGGATGAATTGTACCGTGTCTTTCAACTATTTGAAATTAAAGCTCATCGATTCAATAGCTTCAACAAAAACGGTTCTTGTTAGGCTTGTATAGTTTACTCTATAAAACATAAGCAAGAAGAAATTTGGACCGAGAAAACTATCCTTTTAGGTAAAGTAATGATTCACATAGGACCCACTCATATGTCAATATCCTATGTTGGTTTTTGGTTGGTCATTGTATCTCACTAGTTTTTATTGGTCATTTTAAATCACTCACTCACTCTCTCTCTCTCTCTCTCCCTCCCCACTATGACATTGAGTCCCACATAACCCCTTTCTTATAGTTCACACTATAAGCTTTAAAGCTATCCTTCAAGTTAACTCCAATCAAGGCCCTTACGGATGCATGAACTAATTATCAGCTCCTTTAGCTGATCAGGAGATTTTTTTTTTTCTTTTTGAGAAAAGGTAAAGTACTTCATTAAACAGAATTAAGGTACTGAGCTAAATAGAAAAAAAAAACTTTATACATCCCCAAGTAATCAGGAGGTCTAGCTATGGATTTTTTAAGTAATAGCTCTAGTTGTTGGTGATGGGATTTTTTTTTTGCCAATTCATTGACTTGATGAGAGAGGTTGCTTCAATGTAATTGAGTTGTTCGATGTTCTTAAATTCAGGTTTATGGGTTCTTTCTATTGCAGATCACAAACATGATGCGGCCAGAGCAGAGGATGCCCTGACCCTTTCATATGGCAGTGAGCTGCTAATTGGCATGCAGAGGGACTGGAATGAGGAAGTAGTCTTGTCGGGAGTTCCCTCATACGACTTCTCAGGAAAGGTGTAGTTTTAACATTTTTTTACTGTTATGCATCAATTTCATGTCCACCTGATGTTCTCAACATCCATGGATTTTTAGTTTTAACTATTTATTGATAACTTTCTTGACATTATATCCCCCCCCCCCAAGTGTTTTGTCAGTTACAAGTGGCGTCAGTGGTTTTCATTAATTATCAAGATAATTTTTGTTGCAGGATCTTGCATGATAGGGCTCTCTATAAGGTTACATCTGATTTTGTTGATGCAGCAATTAGTGGTGCAACTGGAGTCATTAATAGATGCATACCCCCTATTAATCCAACAGATCCAGAGTGTTTTCACATGTAAGCTTGTACCAAAATATACCAAAATGTTTTTACATCTCATTTTGTTCTAAATGATTGAATAATATTTCTGAAAAATAGGTCTAAGGTGGCATGATCAGTAAAAAACACAGGTTGGGGGAATTTCAACTTAACTTATGTCAACTCAGGAAGCATTGCCCTTGGGAGTCACATAGCAAAACTGAATGGACTAACACAGTTCATAATTTAAATGGACTCGGGTGTTTGGGTTGGGTTATTAGCTGGATGTTGAACCCAGATTTTTTTTGGTGTACTGCAAAATATCTTCTGCACTGGTATAATTTGCATGAAAGTGTAAATGGGTTAATTTGAGTTTTGTGTTTTTGCTTTCTTTTAATTGAAGCTGAAGTTTCTTTGAGGAAGGAAGAGAGAACTTTTTGATTTCTACAAGTAAGCTTTTAGGAGAGGAGTGGATAGAAGTAGACAGAAATACAAAGTTTGGATTCCAAGTATAATGCAAACCTTGCTAAGTGGACAGAAAAGTTTGTTTTACATTCTATGAAAGAAAACTGAAAAACACATTTTTTATTAGTAACAGAGCATTTTATTAAAAGAGAAATATTAAGAGAATAATACAGAGTTGGGAAGTTGCAATATTATGTAACACAATGTGGCTGCTCTCAGACTTGAAACAGAAAAGCATACATTGTAAGCAAGATGAGATGAAAGGCCATTACCCGATGTTGGTCCCAGCTATCTGGGGTATTGGGAAGGGTGGACTGAATGCAGACCTAACCTTTGGCATTTTTTTTTGGGTATAATGTGGCTGCTCTCAGACTTAAAGCCATATTTTCACACTTCTCAACCTGAAATGTTACCATTATACAAAGTAATGGTCCCATAAACAGGATGAGAAGGAGATATACAATTTGGATAATTATACAAGTGGTGTCGTACACATTAACTATTGGACACTATTTCACACTCTAGAAGTCTGGAAACTGAAAAACTAATCTAAATGGGTTTTCTAATTGATAGCATTTCCAATCACAATGTTTTGATGAGCTTTTGTCTTTATACAGATAACAGCCTAGGTGTTAAACCAAATATCTTTCCTAGAAAATGGTTGGAAATTGAAATAACAATGTTGAGGAAGGGCGCCAGCATGGTTATCAAGGTGGCAAGGTGAGAGCCTTACTAGGCAACAGGGTACTGCCTGGTTTCCTAAGTCCTTAGACAGGACCTATAAAATTTATTAGGTCTGATCCATGTTGGCATGTTCCATATTTTCAGTTTCTTGTTACTTTGTGTTGAAAATATACCAAAGGAAAGTTCCATGGAAGGCATTTCTATAGAAGACCATCATTATGAAAGCTTCTAATTGGGTGGCAAAATCTTGATCAGCAAGGTCTCTACTCATCTCATAATGGAAGCCTCCACCTGTAAATATGATAAAACTGAATTTTGACTGTTGTAGTAGAGAAACCCCAGATATTCACGTAGGGGGGGGGGAGGAGATTTACAGATTTTAGCGGGGCCAAGGCTAGCAAAATCTCTTAACTACACAAGATTGATAGTGGAAGAGGACTCCAAAGTATTGGTGGGTTGGCTGAAAAAGGAAGGACCGGTTCATGGCAATATGGCATTACAGTATGAGGGAGACAAAGGGGATGATAAGCGACATACAGATTCATAATCAGCTGGATACATAGATCAACCAACAGTTTGCCTGATGCTATGGCTATAAAGGGGTAAACATAAAAGATAGTTGGGTAACAGTTTCGCTGTCTCCGTCAGTGTTTGTTGGTTTATCTTTACGTTTCTCTCTATTTGAGCCGATGGTGTGAGCATAGTGTTTACTATACACGGTCCTTCTTGAGTTTTTTTGGCAATTGACAATTTGAGTAAGGTGGTGGGCTTTTCAAAATCGATGAATTAGAATTTTTTAGTGAAATGAGTTGATATTGGTTCCATTATGATACATATAAAATTTGTATTTCTTTTGGGAATTATATGTTTAATAACTTTATAAGATTTATAAAGTTTGTATTTCTTCGATTTATTATATAATATATATTTTTCATAGATTAATTGGTTCATTACATTAGAGACCCGGATTCCACAACTACAACTTCTATTGTTCATTTTTTATTCTCCCACTTACTCGGTATTACTCACGGGCGCCCCTCGTTACTCGCTAGGACTGATTGTTTCGGTTCGGTTTAGAGATTTATCTGTTTTCTCATGAACACGCTTATTGTTCAGCTCATATTCTCTTTATTTTTGGTACTCTATCCGGTTTATATTCTCAATTCACATCGTTATAAGTGCTGCATCGTCCGCTTCATGTTCTCAATTCAAATCACTGCTACATTGTCCGGCTCGGTCCATATCTATGGCCGGGTTATTGTCCAAAATTATTTTAACCTAACCCATCCCGAATTCCCGATCTGGTTCACTGCCGGGCAACCCAGCCCTGATTTTTAGACCGCTTTTTTTTTTTTTTGAGTTTTCATTTTTCCCGCACAAAATACGTTTCCACTCCTGCACCGTCCCAAATCTTCCCTGCCAGTGAACCACTGCTTTCTGCAAATACTTCTCTGCAACAAAACGGACCGTCACTTTCTGCAAATGCTCGACAATTCGACCACGTTTAAAAGTCGAAGCACTCGTTAGCACTGTGAAACCGATCGGTTCTTGGGATCCATGGACCCCAAGGACCGTGAAGAGCTCTGTAACAGTGGAGCGGACGAAGAAACGATAGCACGTCAGAAAAAGCGCTCGAGGAGAGTGAGCTTCGCCGAATTAACTTCAGTGCACGTTTTTGACAGAGATGAGGACTACGGAACTCCCCCGGATTTGAATCCCAGCTCCGAAAATCACGAAGAGGTTTTAGGGTTTCACAGGGATTCCGGGGACAGCGATGACTCGAAGGAGTTGGTGCAGAACGAAGAAGATGATGATGAGAACGGAGATGACGACGAAAGGGAGTTGTTTGTGAGGAGCATGGATTCGTCTTCCCCTGGAAGCGCTGTTGGTTCTGTCACCTCCAATGATGGTCAGTGAAACCATTACGTTTCATTTGTTCCACTCTGCAATATTTTAGTTATATTTCTCCCCCCTTTCGGAAAAGAAAAACGTTTGTTTTCCGCCACTTTTACATGGAATAACTGGAGCCTTAGTTTTAATTTTCTCGCTAGTTTTGTTTGATTGATTATGACACTCTGTTCTTCTAGGATTTTAGTGTATAAGGTAGTTTTAGGCAGAGTATGCTTCTTACATTTTTTCTTGTTGTTTGGTTTAATTCTTGTTTTTTTCCCTCTACCTTTTTCTTTGGATTATTGACAGTCAAAACGTTTTAATTGGAGTAATAGAATCTTGTGTTTACAACAGAGGGCTAGATTCCGAATGGTGTTGGACTAGTCAATGCTACCTAGTCCCAAAATTTCAGTTTTCTCTACCCATTCTAATTAACTCCCCCCCAAAAATTGCCCATCTGTTTACCCTTTCTTTTATCGATGAGTCAGCTAAACTGTTGGCTTATCACTTGAAAGTTGATCTTTATTTCCTAGCCAAGTAAGCCACTTCCATTATAGTCATGGCAATACAATATACCATTTATCAAAAAAGACACTTCCCTTATAAAGTGCTTGCAATGGCACAAACCGTGGTTATCATCTAATGAACTGCAGTAGGACGTAAAAAACACAATAAACTCGTTTCATTTTTTGAGAAGAGCAAGCATTGCTGATCTTGGCCGTTGATTTTTGATTGATTTGGACCATTATAGGTGTTTATAAATAGTGAGGGTAGGGGGTCCATTTGCCCCCTTGTCTGTCTGGGTTAAGTGTTGTGCTGAGGTCAGAGAGTTTGGTCACTAATCTTTTCATTTTATTCTTCCAAGTATGTCGGGGTCCTCGGAGTCAGGTGTCCTAAGGTTGGGAGAGGAGAGAGGAAAGAGGTGCTCTTGGAGGAGGAAGAACTTCTAGGTTCCACCTCTTTTGAGCATAGGGAGTTCGATCACTAGGCTTCTTTCCCCAGGTATAGGGGTCTGGCATTCACTCCTACTCAGTTGACCATGATTGATTTTCAGCGCATTAGGGATAAAAACCATGTCCCTTGTGCCTTTAGGTTTAGGCTTTTGACCCCTTATGAGGCCCTATGGAGTCATCACAACAATGAGGTTTGTGTGTATGAGCAAGATTTTGAGGCAGGGCTTAGGTTCCCTCTCCCTGATCTTATTATCAAGATTTGAAATCATTACAAGGTCACACTAGGCCAACTTTCCCCAAATGCTTTTAGGGTTGCCATAGGGTTCGTGTTGGTGGGTCGTTAATACACCTTTGGGGTAAATATTAGTCTTTGGTTCTCTATGCCAAATCAAGCGTCACTGTGGACAATAGGGGCTTTGTTACTTTTTATTCTGAGCTCATCATAGACTCTTAGGGGGTCTTCTTTCCAAGGTTCAAATTGGAAGATCAAGTACCCCTACACATCAATTGATGAGGGTTGGCGTTTTGGCAACTCATGGCACACTGCTGTCACCTATTTGGATGGCAATGCGTTGACTGAGGTAGAGAAGTAGCTGGTCAAGGACATAGTCTCGGTGAACTTGAAAGCCCCTGACTATTTGACCAAGGTTGCATTGGTGAGAGTGGGTTTGAGTCAAGCTTGGCCAGGTAGTTCGTTTTCCCTATCCCCCTCCTATAGAAAGATTACTTTGCTTTTGTTTCTTTTAATATTAGATATGTTATTGACCTGATGCAGTGTCTCACTCCATTGTTAGGTAAAATGGATGGAGGTGGTAGTGTTGTTGAGGTGTTCATAATATCTAGGGCGAAGAAGAGGAGGCTGGTAAAGGGTGGAGCTTCCTGAGCTATTGGGACGAGGTGCGAGCTCCTGCTCCTCCAGTTTGGACAGAGATAGAGGTGATTCCTATTGATGTTGATGAGCTTGTAGTGGCTAGATCTGAGCAGGCAATGCCTTCAGAGGTTGGAGGTTTTCAAGTCCCTTTCCATTCGTCGGTTACTTCTTTGGACAAGGCTGGCACTTCCGTGGCCCCTGGTCTAGAGATTGTGTATGTACCTCCTAAGAAAACTCCCATATGATTGATGGCCTAGGTGGAAAGTGCGAAGGGGAGATCAGATAGGAAACCCCGAGGATTCTTACAAACTGAGCAAAAGCAGTGTCCTTCCTGAGGTCGCTCGTGAGGTAGGCGACCTCCCCCTGTGGTACTAGGCATCAAACTATTCAAGTACTTAGTGAAGGTAGGGCAGGTTTTCATTTTTTTAGTGTTTCTTAATGTTGGGTTCCTTTAGTTGATGAGTCCTTTTTCTTTGCAAGACCAATGCTGTAGCTCAAGAATTGTTCAACCGAGTGGAAGGGCAGGTTGCTCGTATCGAGAACATAGCCAAGATGGAGAAGCAGTACTCGTGCCTTGTCTTTCCTAGAGAAGGGCTTCAGGATGTGTTGGCTTCTTGCTGCTGCTCGCTTCCCTGAATTGCCTATGGAGGAGTTGAGGATGTCTGCTGTCACTGGAGAGATTGTTGTGCAGGATGACCGAGAGAGTGATGAGGAGGATGAAGGAGGGGAGGAAGTGATTGGGGTGGTTGAGGGGGCTGGAACATTATAGTTGAGGAGACTACAACCTACGTGCCCCCAGTTAGACTTAGAAAATTTGGCCTCTTTTCTTGGCCCTTGTACATTGTTCTACTCTCCGAGCTTCTGTGGTCGGATTAGGTCTTTGTAGTTGTTTTCCTTTCTTTTCATAGTTTTTGTACTTCTTTTGTACTAAGTCGAGCAAGAATTAATGATAAGTACTTGAAATTTTTTGCATATGGCATTATTCTTCTCCTCCTTTTTCTTTGGTTAAGGTTTTGAGTTAAGACCTAGTCTTTTTTTTTCCCAATCATCCATAGCTCGGCTGAGTTGAGCCAGGTTGACTTTAGTCACTCCTGAATGGTGGTCTTGGCCATGCTTGAGCAAGGTCAGGACTTAGTAATGGGTTCTCAACCCTTTCCCAAGCGGCTCAAACTCTCTACCCGAGTTACCCAAACTGATCAGTTGAGTTCCCTGCCTCAGCTGTTTGGACAGTTGGGCTGAGTTTGGGTATCAACCTTATCGTCCCGATTCAGTGTATAATGAACCCGAGTTGTGTTAGTGAAATTACTAACTTTCTTTGACAGATGTATATTCCTTCACTAGACCATGCCACATGTATTCCAAGGAAATACCTTAGGGTGTCCATATACTTGGTCTGAAATTCTGAAGCCAAGAAAATTTTCAGCCTTTTAATTTCATCTGGATCATTTCCAGTGATTACCATGTCATCAACATATTCAGTCAATGAAGTGAGTTTCTCTCCCATCCTCCTATAAAACAAGGTGTTATCTGCACTACTTTGAGTATACCCTACACCTTTTATTGCTTTACATAGCATTTCAAATCATACCTTAGGGGATTGTTTCAAACCAAACGAGGCCCTCTTCATCCTACAAACCTTACCTTTCATATCGTATCCTGAGGATGTATCTATAAAGACTTCTTGCAAGTCACCATTGAGGAAAGCATTTTTCACATCAAGTTGATGCAACTCCCATGAAAAGAATAGAAAGCCTTAGTGTTCGGTGGGAGTGGCTCACCCCAAATGTCCTTTTCTGAAGAAGGCTGTAAGGGGGTGGAGAATGAATCCTATTAGTTTTTCTCTACTCTTTCTAATACATTCTCTTAAATTATTGTTAGTAATAAAAATTACTTGGTTACGAAGAAATCTATTAGTTGCTCAACTCTCTTAGCTGGTAGTACACTGACCTTCGTTCTTTAAGAGTGATTCCTAGAAACCACCCTCAAGGCTAACTTCTCCTTGGTCCTATTTTGCAACAAAACCCCAATCTCTAGAGATCCTATTCTGCGTACTATACATTGAGGGTACTTCTACTTGAGGAATTCTGGAGTGTTTTCTTAAGCACTATAGCTAGGGTTGGCTGACACTCCAGCTAAACAAGGGGTTACTAAGGAAGATCTTTTTTGGGCATTGCTGTAATTCTTTTCATGAAGTTACTATTATTGAATGAAGTTACTGTTTCCTATCCAAAAGAAACTTTTAATATCTCAAAGTCCCCATTTCATTTCTTTGAATTTCTAATAGAAAGAAGGCAATTGATGTAAATCTTAATACTTCTTGCAGAAGAAAACTTCTTTGGCCCTGTATCGTCGAGTTTTATTAGACCTGGACAACTATCTGATGCAGACTCAGATGAAAACCGTGATGTAACTCTGGATTCAACAACATTTACCATGCACTTTCGTAGTCTTTTGCGGTCGGATTCAGTAGGGAGCCTAAAAACTCCAACAAGAGACCATCTTTCCTTTGAAGTGAAGACACCTACTGAAAATTCCATGCCCACTAAATCTGGCAGTTTCTCGTTGATGACAGAAATTAAAAAGCCAATTCCTCTCTGTTCTGTTTCAGGTGGAGCATATAGTGGTGGTTCTGATTCAAATGATATGAGTCTGATAGTAGAAAATTCACAGAGGTATGACTATGGGAAACTATCTCCAACATTGAATGCACTCCTTGCAGAAGGCAACAAGGATTTCCATGCTACCTCTGTTTCTGATGGTATCTGTGCTGCCAAGTCATCTAGTTATCTGGATAGGGATAGTAGGTCTTCTGTACTTGATGAGCGTAAGAATGAACTTGTGGACCTAAAAGATTCTAGTATAAATGAATTGAACAATGTTGGTTCTCAGGATACATGTGTTGAGTTGATTTCTGATCGAAGGATTATATTGTGCAAGGAAAATGGTGAATCATCAACTCCTGTTCAACTAATTAGTTGTTCTCCCTTGTCTACTACAAAGAACCTTCTGCCTGATGATGCTTCCATTTGTCAGCAGAGTCAAAATCCCCATGAGCCAACTAAGGTGAGATTCCTTGTCTCATATTATTACTATTTGTAATATTCCATTTTCTACAATGTTTGCAGTATTTGGATTCTTTCTTCTTTTCTTCTCCTTCATATTTTTTTGTTCTTTTTTTCCTGCTTAATTAAAGGATAGTAATGCCATTGTGGAGTTGCTGTGCAGTAATGTAGGAGCATTTTGGAGGGATGTTGAGAAGCATAAATACCCTTCCTCAATTGTCCTTGTATCCTCTGAATTGTTGTTTCTTTCCTTAACACAGCCTTATCACAACCATTTGCACGTGACTACATGAATTCCATTCTGTCATTCTGCTTTATCAATAACTTTACCTTCTTTCAGATTGAGTGTAGTCCTGTCTCTCTACATCACTCCATGTTCAATTTGTCTTTCTCTTTGCTCTTTTAGAGCCTTCTACTTGCACCAAACAATTTCCTGTGGTTGCAGTTCTTGGCATTTATGCATATTGGGGTACCCATAAGTTTATGCTGTATACTTCATGGTTTTGTTGCTGTTGCTCATATTCATAATAACATCCTCATCTCAAATGCATTCATTTCATGGATGTTTTCATAGTTGCCCAAAACACAGTTCCTATTTCCAATTAATGTTGCTGGTTTCATAGATTCTCCTTCTAGTCTGTCAGGTATGAATTGGCCATATTGTAGATGCCTCTCTCTGTGTTATTATCATCAATTTGGGTTTCTCTGATTATGTTTTTGCCCCAAGTCCAAGTATTGTACCAGTTGATATGACACTATTTCAATACATTGGTCAATTACCAAGTTTAACATTGGTTATGACACTGAATGGAGCAAAATTGTGGAGCATGAATCATGTAGCCGACCCCAGATAACTAAGACAAGGCTTTCTTGAGTTAGTTGAAATTTGATAGATTTGAATTTTGTTAGTATTTCTTTGATTGGTAACAAGGCCCGAAAAAAAATTATCATAAGATAAAAGAGAAGGTACATAGAGAACATGGTTGTCAAGTTGTCTACTGTCTAGATCATTCTGGGTGAGAGTGAGGTGCCTAGTTGCCCAGGTGATATGAATTATATAAAATAAAAAAGTAAATTTTGGTTAGTTCCTTAGTTTTATATGCCAACCAGCATGCGAACTAGTCAAAAAATGAAGCTATCTTTATTAAGAACATTAAATTTTCTCTTAAAACATGGCAAATCATCATATCTAAAAGACAATAGTATTTCCAATATATTAATTTCAATATTTTCAAAGTATAATACTAATATAATAAGCATAAAATAGAGCAAATCAAATTAGAGTGTGGCTGTTGTCTTTGATTTGGTGGATTTTTGGCCTTCTTGAGTTTGGTGTTCTCATAGTGTGGTTAGAGTGTGGCTGTTGTGTTTGTAAGGTTTAGTGGAGGTTGGTTGTTTGTAGTTGAGTGGATGTTTGTTCTTTGTGTTTGGTGGTGCTTGTGGTGTAGGGTTGAGTTTGTTGGAGTTTTGTTTTGTTGTCTTTCTTTTCTTGGGTGGCTTCTGGTTCTGGTCACCTTCCTTGTATCTTTTTTTTTTTTTTTCTTTTAATAATTTTATTTTATCTTCAAACAAAATTCATATAAAATTAGCAACTTAAGAAGGCTATAATTTTATATGGTAAGAATTTAATATGGAAGGTAATTAAAGAGAAGAAGAACAAGAGTGGAGTCAACGCTTTATTTAATGTAAGAGAGAGAGAGAATAGAAAAAACAAAAGACAAATAAATCTCTTAATCCTTCTCTTCTTATTCTCCTCTTCTCAAAACCCTTGGATATTTTACATTTCAATGGTAGAACTTTGAAACAAAATGTATATATATGTCACATATTAATAAGGTGTAACCATAATATTGATATTTTAATAAGGTGCCTGCCTTGTGATTTTTGTTGCTTAGGTGAGTCTTCACCTGGATAGGTGCTTAGTTACTATAATTTAGGACGGTCAGGCAAGGTGCCCAGCCAAGGAAGGCTTATTGCTTAGGTGGCACCTTGAAAACCATGGAGAAAACAAACCCCAAGGCTGCATTCCTATAGCATCCCCATATACCCCAACCTATGCTCCGCTTAGCAGGAAGTGCAGAACCCTGATACAACTCCTAGCCAATGAACTGGCTATATTGTTGGCTAATCATGTATCCTGACCTAATGAAATTAAATATTTTTTGCTGGATGCTAATGATCTAGCGTCCCTAATAAAAGTTTCGTGTGGGACTTCTTGTTCCATACACATCGTTGTAAAACTTCTTAAATCCAATTTCAAATAAAAGTTTCCTTTGATGATCAAAAAAAAAAAAAAGATCTAGCGTCCCTAATAAAGAAGTGATGGACCCAGGGAGTCTCATTTCCTCCCTCATTTGTTCACTAGAGCTTGAGATTCTCCCTCCACCTCAGTGTTTTAAAAGTGCAAGGCACAAAAGAAGCGCAAGGGGCATTTTGTATTTTGCACCAGATGCACAAGGTGCAAGGCGGGACATGCACTTCAAAGGACAGAAAAATGAAAAAATGCCAAAAGATTGAAAAAAATTAAAATATTAAACATAATGTTAATTAAAAATATAAACTTAAATTTTAAAATAATGTAAAAGAATCTATTATCTCAAATTAAAATACATAAACATAACATGTAAAACATATTCAAAATGAAAATGTAAAAATAAAATCAAACATAACATAGGATGTAAAACATTCAATCTCTTTATTTTCCCCCAATTGCATTACCTTCAAATAGTTAATGTGATGTTAAACATTTTGCATTCCTGATTCTACAAGCTGCCTTACCAAGCCCCTTGAGGCAAGGCACACCAAGAGGCGTACCAGGCCCAACCAAGTCTATATTGCACGCAAGCAAGTCGGCTTGGAGTGGAACCCCTTTTTTGCTAATATTGTTCATTCATCTCCTTAATACAAGACATTTTTAAAAGACAAAGAATTATAATTAAAGTTACAAAGCTAATCTTTTATGTGCTAAATAAGAAATTAAAACCCTAACATAGACTTATTGGGCTTGTCTCAAGGGGCTTGGTTGGGGTCTGCCCCTGGAGCAGCTGCTAGGCTTAAAAACAGCTAAATGTAGAAATTTTGAAAAGGCGCACGCCTGGGCCTAGACAAACTTCAGGCCTGCCTTTTAAATTACTGCTCCACCTCCAATCCACATGGCCTGAAAAAGCTTGTAGGATTTCTTGCTCAAAGTTCCTGAATACACATCAGTACCTAAGTTTCCAGGATTACCCATATAGCTTCCATCAAAGTTTTTCTTGATAGATCTTTGGAACTTGAATCATATTATTTGGGAACTATCTTGAAATTATTATGCTAATTTCTGCCATGGAATTAAGGATCTTGGTCTCGTGCCTATGCTAACATGTTTTTGTCCCCTTGTGGGGATTCCTTTTGGAATTTACAAGGAGTCTGGAGAAGATGCACCTGAAGCAAATGGAGATTTTGGTGCTGATAACAGCGATTCTTTTGTACCTATGGATAAAAAACAGGAAATGGGTTTGTTCACAGAGCATGATTGTCAAGATCTAGAGGAGTCTCCTAAAGGTGGAAAACATTCTTCAAGTTCTCTTTATAACTCTGGTCAAGACTGTGGATCTCCGTTAGCAGGGTCAGATTCCTCCTTATGTGCTAAAGGAAGACAAATATTTAGTGGTTCTGCTGTTTCATTCATAGATGAGAAGATGGCTACACCTTCTGCCAGCAAAAAACTTTGCTCCTCTTTAAACAAGGAAAGTATATCTTCTACTGTGAGAAGTATTTCAAAATTCAAGATTTATCAGATGTCTCCAATTACTTCTACCCTGGAAATTGAAGCAGATAATTCTTCTAAGTCTTTTTCTTGTTCTGCTGCTTTGGATGGGAATAGTAAAAAGCCTGAATTGAAGCCTATGAATGCTTCTTTTTCTGTTTTGGATGAACAATTTTTAAGTGTTGGTTGGAAGAAGGAAAAACAGGGCAGTTCAATTGAAATGGATAGTTGTGGGTTTGAGACACCAAAGCACATAAATAATTTGAAGCAAGCTGAAGGCAGTGAGACCATTCTGCCAGATGGAGAATATGGGAATCCAATATCCGTAGGTTTGGGCTGCAATGGTCAACCTAACAAGTTAATGGCAGTAGCACTTTCACCCTCCCAGTCATCTGGGTCTGCAAAAAAAATGGAGCGGCGTCCCTTGGCTAATTGCAGTCCCACTGGAGGAGGTTTTGTCACTTCTGGACCTGATTCATTGTTGATGAAGACCACACTTGACAGCAATGCAAATGAGCAAGTAAACCCGACAGCTGACAAGTTGGTCTATTCTCCACTTAAAAGGGTGGAAAAAACTTTGTTTGTTTCTCTGGAACATAAAGGCATACTGTCAAGTGCATTGAAGCAGCAGGAAACTAAGTTTGTCAGCTTGGATGTCAGGCAAGATGCCGAAGGTTCAAGGGAAAATGTCTCTAAAGTGAGTCACTTAACCCCTATAGCTGGCAAGTTAGGTACCTTGTGTGAGGAGAAAATATCACATTCTAGATCACCACTCATCAATATTAATTCTGAAGATTCCAGAAACTTTATTAAATGGAAGGGGATGGATAACAAGGAACTTTATCATGTTTTGCAAAAGGGGTCTGGAAATATGATGGGTTATGGAACCCCCATGCAGCATAGAGCCACCCCTAATATCCAGTCTGAAAGCTTACAAAGAAGCTCCCAAACAGGCACATACCTGGCAAAGTTTAAAGAGAAACTTTTTGATGGAGATCCAAGAGCTTCTCTTTATGAGTCTACTTCGCGACATGTGCATGATAGGGGCACAAATGTCCCACAACATGGAAAGGTAATCTTCTCTGTTTCCTCCAGATTGCACTTCTCATAATTATATATGCATCTGCCTTGGCTCCTCCATAGAAGTGGTCTATAATGACAATGACCATATGCAACCTTACCTACTTTCATATCTATTTGACATTCAGCAAATTGTCATGGTGACTTCCAACAGGGTCTACATGTTTCACAGAAAGTATTATCTTTCGAAGGTGCTGACAATTCTACAAGGAAAAGAAGAAGTGAAGAAACTATTCTCACAGATAAAGGCCATCTAAGTGAAACTGAAAGGCTCCAGAAGAGTCCGAAAATTCTTGAAATGCAGGGTAGCATGCCAAAACTTATTTCTGAAATTCATACCATAAGAAATATTGAAGTGGATAAGATTGAAGGCAGCACAAAGCAAAAGCATTGGTCTGATGTATGTATACTAGAAGTTGCATGTGTTGATGTAGTGGTTTGCTAGCTTAGGGGCTGTTTGATAACAACCAAAGAAGTTGAACTGAAAAAAAGCTTATTGCATTGTCTTTTAGTGAATAAGATTTTAAGGAGGTTGTGGACTCCTTGATGGCCGAAACTGAAGTTAGATGGGTCACTATATCCTTGAAAATTTTATTATTTAATTATTTATTGACTAAAAGACAAAGCAATAAGTCTTTTAGTTCAAACAGGCCCTTAGTGTAATCATGGTAGTTCTAGTTGACTTTAACTTCAGAGTTGACTTTTCAGGTTTTTTCAAGGTTTTCTGATGCAGTGGAACAACTGTTTTCTCCATTAACTGCTAAACTTAACACAAGGAAGGTATGCTATTTACTTCCACTTCTATAGTTCTATCTAGACCATGGATGTAGAATAAACAAATATATGTAAATTTAATTATTTAATAACATTACAGTACTATGGTTATTGATTGATTTTGTAATCATAATCAATATAGTTGAAGTGTCTCCTAGGTGATTGCCCAGGCAACCATCCATGCAGCTGGTATGGATATAAACATCTTACTGGGGGCAAATAGCTTAATTATGCCCTCTTTGTAGATTATTTGCCCTCTTTATATTGATATGCGTGTATATAACCCATTTTCTGTTGGTAGGAGTTCATGGAGATCTGAAAACTGACACTCTTAATCACTTACCATTCTATGCGTATGCGTATTTTCAAAAATCTTGTTGATTCTGTAAATTTAGTGTAAGTCGTCATTTCATCATTTACTGATTTAGTTCATGGTTAATAGTTTATGATTATCATGAATTTCTGTAAAACTTCTGTATGGTTATATTGTGAAAGATGTGTATGTTGGGTTATTCATTATTTCATGTTTGTTGCCTTGGCTTGACAGTCCAGAATGCGTGGGCATTGCCTAGCCATAACTACTGTATTGTTCTTAATAGTATCCTGGCATGGTTTATTTTTAGCTTTCTAGCTAAACTTACAGAATTTGCATTTCTGTGTTTCTTCTTTTGAATGTGTAGCTTGAGATTCTGGAAGATACTTTGGGTCAGTTGCAGAAGGTTAAAAAGTATGAGAAGCTTTGTACAGAGATCTGGTCACAGGTTTGCTAAATAAATGATTTTCATAGACCACTTTTCTTTTTGAGCAACCATTAATATAAAAGGATTGACATGTAATTTCTTCCTGCAGGAAATGCCAGATGGTTTGGATGATTTTCAAAAGAAAAGGTAGAGTTTCATTGGTTTTATGGATTGAGAGTGATGCGAGGTAACTGTAGAAAAAGCTGGTTTAGTTTGATAAACATTGACACCTATTAACTGATGTGGTTGCAGGGTAGCCGAAGCTACGTCATTGCAACATATTTTTGCCTTTGAACAAGCAAAGTTGCTATTAGTGCGCATGAAGAGAGAGAGACTATTTGTAAATACTTCCTACTTGTGTATTTAGTGTTTCTCATATTGCGTTTGCTTACTACAAGGTGGCTTTACTCTCCCTTTCGCAGAAAAGCATACAGAGGTTGCAGTCAGGAATTTGGGAATCTCAAATCTTGAATAATTCTATGAAACATCTCTGTGTGCCTGGTGCTAGAGATGTTCAAAATAAGGAGAGTCATCTTCAATCCCTTTTAGTTAATTCCAACAAAAAAATTGAGGTATATATAGTTCCCATGAACTTCATTTCATTTTCCTAGCGAAACTTTTGTGTTTTAGTTATATTTGTTTCCTTTTGTTTGCATTTCTGCAATGGTCTTTTCTTTTTGATGGTACTCCATCCAATTTTTCAGCATGTATGAGCTTCGGTGGTTCAACATGTTTATTTTTAATCTGCATCTTTTTATGAAATGATGTAAGTTTTGGCCATACGAGGATGTCCTAGTTTCCAACTCTTTTTGGGTCAATAATGAGATAAAAAAGTTTTTTTAATAGAAAATCCTAAATGGAGTATATTCCTTTGGATCCTTTACCCCCTTTTGCTTCCTAATGAAAGTTACCTTTAGGGGTGCAACTTGGGCGGGCCCATCCCCAGCCCAAATCGGCCCAACCCGGAATTTTACACGGGTTGGGCTTGGATTTTTGGTCCTCGGGCTGGGACCGGGCCCAAGAAGTCGGGCTTTTTTATTTTTCGGGTCGGGCTCTGGCCTAGCCCTTAGCTTGGCTGAACCCGGCCCGAGCCCGACCCAATTATATGCATTTATACATGTGTATATATGTAAATGTTGCATACATATTTACATATATATGCATACATATTTGTATATATAACATTTGTATAGATATTTTGCATACATATTTACATACATAAATATATGTATATACATATTTGCATAAATACATTTATATATGTATAATTTTAGAGTGAGTTCATTGATTAACCCGAGCCCGGCCCAGGCCCTAGCCCAACCTAAGTGCATCAAATTACAGGGCGGGTTGGGAAAATCGGGCTTGACCTTGGGCTTGAGCCGGGTTCGGGCCTTAAGCCCAAATTTTAGGATCGGGCTTGGGTTGACCATAAACCCGGCCCAACCCGCCCGACTTGCACCCCTAGTTACCTTTAATAAAACAAAGAAAAGAAAAAGAAAAAAAAGAAAAAAAAGAAAAAAGGAGTCATCACAGACCCATCAACAAGCTGAAAGAAAAACATATGGAGTTGCATTGTTCTGGTATTGTAACATGGCATATCATGCCATTTGACTCACTACCCAATATGCATGCTCTTACTGATTTTTAAGTACAAGAGTTTCTCCCTCTATGACATCTCTAGTATGGTGGTAATTGAAAGATGGTGCCTTGGTTGTTGGCTCTTTTTTCTCTCATTTGGGGTTGGTTTTAATTAGGTTTTTTGTGGGCTTCCTTAATCACACTTTTGAAGAACAAGGTTGTTACTTAGTCATAAATAGTCATAAATTCATCCATCATAGAGGGAGATGGTTCTTGTTTCCATTATTTCACCAAATCAAGGTGCATTTTTGAAGAATAGGCAACTCATTGATCATATTTTAATTGCTAATGAAAGTGTGGAGGATTTGAAAAGAGTTGGAAAAAAGGGCTTAGTTTGCAAGCTTGATTTGGAAAAGACATGATTTAGTTGATTGGTCTTTTTTGATGGGGGGTGATGGGAAATTGTAGATTTGGAGAAAGGTGGTATAAGTGGATTAGGACTTGCCACTACACTATTTTGGTGAAAGGAATTGTGGTGGACCATTTCCATGCTATTATTTATTTGTTTATTTTTTGGTAGAACATTTCCATGCTATTAGAGGAATTAGACAAGGGGCCCCTCTCTCTCTTTTCCACTTTGTCCTAATTGTTGATGTCTTGGGTAGACTAATTGCTAGGGTTGACTCTAAAAATTTGGTGAGGGGGTGGCAAGTTGGTAGGGATAGGGTGCCAATTAGGGGTGCTCATGGTTCAATTAATCAAATCATGGGCCTATTTTCCATATTGAATTGGTACCATGGGTTTTTGGAAAACCGTGAATTGAAACCAATCAGTTAACCAGTTGATTGGTTTTTCAGTTTTTTGATATTTATAAATTTAATTATAAATAAATATATAAATATATAATATAAATCATAGGTTTCAAGGCGCCTAGGTGATTTTGGGCGACACTAGGGCGCCTAGGTGATAAAAATTTTAAAACATAAAAATCTAACTTTTGGCTAGTTCCCTAGTTTTATATACCGTTCAGCATGTATATTAATTGAAAAAATAGCAATTCTCTTTATTAAGAACAATACTGTTATAATAAGGATTTAATAGAGAAATTTCATATCAATTAGCAACTAAAGAAGGTTGACATTATATATTAAATATTCAAGATGGAAAGTAAAATAGAAAAACAAGGATGGAATTTATGTTTTATTTAATTAGAGAGAGAGAGAAAAAACAGAACCTCTTTATATTTCTATTCTTTCTTTCCTCTTTCTTTCTTTCTAGGGGTGGCCACGAGTCGAGCTCTTCTACTACTACTACTACTACTACTATTACTACAAATAATATATATAATAAAAATATTATATAATAATAGCAACTAATTATTATAATTCTTAATTTTTTAAATATCAAAAAAATATATATATGTTTTTTTAATTTTTATAAATCATTTTTCTCAAGTCGAGCTTTACGAGCTTTTGACTCGAGCCGAGCTTGAGCTTACGAGCTTTTGACTCAAGCCGAGCTTGAGCAAAAGGTTCTAGCTTGAACCGAGCTTGAGCTCGAGCTCGAGCCTTGTACTACCTTGG